TGGTGCCTTCCTTTGTTTTGTCATTAAAAAAGATCAGCAAAAACTGAATTGTGATCATTTTTAGAGAGAAAATAATATTTTTTATATTTAAGTTAACAATTCAATATTTTAATTGACTTTTAGATTACGGTATCTGAAAATATTCACTGATGCTACTCTTCATTGTATTTATTGGTTTGTACATCTCTGGTGACAAGAAATTTGTGTGTATTTTTTAATTTTATTAATTAAAGTATATATATTGAATTTGTATATATATATATTTGTCATGTAACTTATTTTGGTTGAAGAAATTTATTTATTTAGGTAAATTACATATTATATATATTATGTATGACCAGCTCTGGCAAAACCAGCAGTTCGTAGGAAAAATTCAGAATTGAGGTTTTGGTGTTTTTAGATTCTCCATTAATGGATGTTAGTTGAATATAAGCAAAGTTACGAACATTTAAGTCACTGAATATCAGCCATGTAGGTTTTGAGAAAACAGCTTCCAAAGATTTCGAAATTAATAGTTTATTAATAAGATTTGTATTGTAATATACTTTTCAGTTAGATTTAGTGATGGATATTTTGCAGAAATGTTCTTCAAGACATCTTTTATAAAAAGCAAAAACATGAAAATGTTCAAAGTTCTGATTTTTAAACATTTTGGGTACTTGTGGGAAATTAGAAATAAAAAAAAAACAAAACAGTGGGTTTTGCCAGAGCAGGTCATATATACATGTGTATACATAACAATACATGAGAATCAGTATGAACATACATTCTTTATTTCCATCAGTAGGAATTAAATTATCAACAGTTTTACAGGAAGTTAGTATGGTATGTTTGTTTTCATTGAACAAACTACTTAACTACATAGAAAACTTAGTAATGTACACATTCTTTCACAACACAATCGCTGAAGATCTCGACTTCAGTTCTCCCTTCTGTATTTTCTTAATATCTTAGAATAAATATAACTATTTGTGAACTGATCAAAATAGTAGGTTTTAAAGCACTGTTTTTACAGATTGCAAGCATTCATCAACAGAAATATTTCAAAGAAATTCTTCCTTATTTACATGATTATATTGATTGTCATTTATATAAAATTGACGAATCATAGATTAATGATACGACTCCCAAGCTTGAAGCCTGGCGCAAACAAGAGCTATATGCTTGTGTGTGACAGCATAAGCACGTCACTTGCGTGTGAATGATTTTCAAATGACTTGTCATTTGTGGCTGTGCATGCAAATATCCTGTTTTATAATTTTTGCAATAAATAAAAAAAGTTGGACAGTATGCGATGAACAAAAGTTATCTGCATAACATTATATTGCTATTAAGGACAATCATTCATGTATTTTTTAATCGTGCCAATATTATTAAACATAATAGACAATACAAATGTATATTGGCTTAAGCAGGGAGCGCTTGTGTGCACCAGACTCAATAAAGGAAAAAGGTTATCCATCAAAATTATTCAAAAGCAACATAGGAGTAAGAATATAATCTTTTGTTGTTATTGGTCAAATGTTTTTGATATACAAATTAAATATTTACTCACCTAACTTATTGTAACAAAAGTATAAAAACAAGTATGGAAGTTGATAAAATAGAAAAAATGGAATGACAACAAAATCAGGAAAAAAAATGGTTTGAAATATTAAAGCTTTGAAGAGGGATATGGATTCTAAAACAATTTGGCAAGATGTTCCAGTAAATATTAACTCATCTTCCATAAATTCATATTTGCACATTTTTAACTATTATCAACTGTCTCACAAAAGCCAGTACTGATGAATATCACCAATGCACAGCAATGTGAAATAGATGTGTTAAAAAAGCTCATTTATTTGTCTATGGCTATGTGATATCACCATGTTCATACATGGGTGTGGTATGACACCATCATGCCCAAATATGGGCAAATCATAACTTCTTATCACATAAACTTGGAAAAGTTTATGTGGACATTACAGGCAGCAAAATTGGGATGAATGTGTTGAAGCGTAGGTTTATTTTCATGGATGCTATGAGAAAAAACAACTACCTGTTTAGACTACTATAATAGAGGTAGACGATAACGAAATCAATATATACCACCATAAGCAGTTTTGGTCTAGCAAAAATGAATGTCTTCAATAATGTTATACTACATACATGTATAAATATCATTTTTTTTAAATGTTGCTTATCCGAATGCCTTGCAGTTTATTAACATTAAATAAAACCAAAGTCATAACAAAAATGGAGAGAAAATACAATGAAAGAAAAAAAATTGTTGATTACCATTATTGAATCTTAAGATACAACAATCTATTGTGGTATGTCTGACTATTGTTGTAAAAGAATTTTAGGGAATAATTTTAGAATAAATGTGTGTAATTTAATATATTAGAGAATAAGAAATACAGCTCCAGTTGTATGTATGCTAACATGCAAATATGTAGGAAAACTAAAACTTTACAGAGTTGGGGAGGAAACGAATCAATGGATTATTACACATCGTATGCATACAATACATAATAATACATTGTGTTGATTTGTGGAGCTTGCTTAACTATGACACTAAACTTCAGTCTTGTTATCTTGATTCACTATGGCATGCAGGAAATATATACCATTTCCTTCGAAAATTACAGCATAATTTTCAATTTATAGCACCTTGTTTAATGGAGCTTAGCAGTTAAAACTTAGAATTAATGTAATAAACTTTTTTTTAAACCATTAATAAACATGAAAAAAATAACATAAATGTAACCTGTTATCAAATACTTTTGGTCAGCTCAGATTTAATCCCATGAAAATGTTAACATTCTGAACTCTTTATCTTGATTGGCTGTGATGCACCACACAGCGGTGGCACCGCCACATTCAACGGCCCGTAATAACAAAAATACTTATTAGGGTTCACAGGGAGAATTTTTTTGGCTTAGTATGGTCCAAATTGTGCTTTTAGACCACAATATTAGTGATTATCAAAATAACATTATTTGGATAATCAAATTATTTTTTTTAAATTTTTGATCCGACGACCTAGTTGTGGCATCGGACAACAGGGAATGCTCCATGCCCTCCACCCCCGCTGGCAGCACAGAGTATTGTTTATATCTAACACACTCAATGATTAATAGAAATGTCAAAGGTCATCATCTAAGCTATAGATCTTACACATTTTCATACTTTTTTCTTATAAATAATATTAATACCTTAAACATAAGCCAACAATATATATATACATTTGCACAATTTTTCTTATCAAAAGTTAATAATCTGTTTTTCTTTTTTTTTAACCCTGGAAGACATCACTACTTGTTTCACTTTATATTTCTAAATTAACATGACTGGTGATTGGCTAAAATCAAAATCAATTTAACACATCGTCAAATCAAACCATCAAGGCACTTTCTCATTGAGCAATACTGTTTTCGTTTACAATTCAGGGTTAAATTTTAGATGAAGGTATGGTTTAGTAGTCACAAAACCCACCTTCCAATCATAGACTTCACTAATAGCATCAGGTTATTTCATTTAAATTTGGTTTAAAATAGTCATGGGTTCGATCACTTTTCAAGTCAAAATTCGTTCTTACAATAACAGACAATTTCCCAAGTCTCAAAGAGCTATCAGGGTCTTATACCATCAGCCTTGCAGGTTGAACCACACACTGACTTTTAACCAAGACACAATGTATTAATTTAACATATTAAATCACACTTATAAATACTTATACTGTTAGGATTTAAATTCAACGAAATAAATTGATATCACACACAAAAAATTCATTTTCTTATTAATAAATTTCTCCAGGGGAAAATATACAATTTAATTTCATTATTAATTGATGTATTACAAATAATGAGGATGTTATTCCTGAGAAATGTGATAAAAAATGCACTCTTTATACCATGGTAATTGTGAATTTTAAAAATAACTAAATTTCTCAGGAAATTTTTAACAAAAATTTAAAATTTTAGAAAGTCATAATAAATGTTGTCAATCAAATTTGTTACAAAGTTTTACATATTTTAACGGCAGTTACATGGTATTTTAATACCCAGGCACAGAATCATCACCCGCAAAGTAATGGACCTTTCCGGAGTGTCAATCAAACTCAACAACTGACCAATCGGAACAGCGCTAAGCGCTATGTTTTATGTGTATGTTTTAACACTGTCATCTGGTGGGAACTTGGCAACAATATCCAAGAGGCGGGGCTTACCGGAAAGGTCCATTCTCATGAAAAAACCAATTATTAATGAGCACCTTATATGCAAAAACTTAAATGATGTTTGTATTAAAATAATTTGTTATATATTATTAGTTTTCATATTTTCTTTTTCATTTCCTTAAGAGCTTTGAGACAATTTATAATTGTGTAAGGCGCTATACAATTCAATTTCCACTACCATTATTATTATTAAATAACCTTAGTAAGGCTTACACAAAATCATTATAGCACTATAATGATTTGTAAAGCGTACTGGTCTCGAGTAAGTGCCACTCTCCAATAAGCACATCATGAACTTGCCGAAAAATTGTATAATCTCTGCAGTGTTTACCTGACTCAACCTGCAGTATATTTAGACACTTTACTAAAAACATATTTTAATTTTTGTCACTTCCATTGTCATTCATGGTTCAAATAACAAGGCTATCAAGTGAAAAGAAATGCAAGTTGCGGTGTTATATATCAGATACTCTATGGAGGTATACCTATATTAGTACACTGGAAATAGAAAGAAATGAAAACTATAAAGCATAAACATATAAATATAACAAAACAGATTTCTACATCATGTCCTCAATGCAATCAAAGAACTTTTGTCCATTTATTTTAATATATTCAAAGCTCATAGTGTGTATCAACAACCTATTACATATGCCAGTCCTGTATGTTTTGTATGTTTATGTTGTTATAATTCTAATGGACCTGCATTCATAATGTAATGCTGGTTAAAATATAAACATCCTGAGACGTACATTCTGTGATTGGATGTGATGCAGAATGTAACCTACAATAATTTACTACAGCCACTGTACTATGATATGAACATGTACAATTCCTATGTTTATCATAGCTAGTTATATCACAGTTATTAACAAAATATTGACCAGGCTGTGTTACCAACACTAATAATTCATAGAGTACCACAGTCGTGTCGTCACGATGCCAGGTGGCGCTCTCTGTTGTCAAGACAGTTACCGTTCATAACACTGAATGACTTCATAGGCTTTCTGGAATAGGCATTTTAAAATCTAATATTTTACCATCAAAATGTATTAAAAACACATTATATTAGTTATCGAACACACATTTAATCATCAACTAAAATTTACAAAGAAAAATAACATAAAATATCTTAATAATTACGTTAGAAATTGGGATCAATGGTGTGGGATCAATGGTGTGTCAGTGAAGAAAATGGCGTCCGGTTGAACGCTTTTTGCAACGATAGCAACAGAGTAGTATCGCATGGTATCGTGACGTAACACTGTACACTCTATACCGGACTGATCAACTGTAATTAGACACTGACTGACTATCAACCATTATTAAATACTGGCCAGCATATTTATATCTCGGTTCATGCATAGCAGCTAAAGCCCAATTCCATAAAATCGCTAGACCAATCTCTGTAGTGTTTTCACTGCAATTGTTACACTGCGTAGCTGGCCATGACAAGATCAGAGAGGCTTACTGATTTGATCGATCGATAAATGTTGACCAGACTGTTGGCAATCGTTGGCAATTTTATGGGAACCAGACTTCAGGCATCACCTAGCCATCTGTTGAGGACATCATTGTCAATGGCAAGTATTTCACGATATTATACAGCACACACTGTTTTGTTTGGATACATTTGATATAACAAAATATTCTATGAATCAACAAAATTTACATTTTTTGTTAATACCAGTATCAAATGTAAACAGAAGTAGCGACGCTTGTTTTGATATTTCTCATAATGACTAAACGTTAGTAGGCTATTCGTTGTTGACGGCCCTCGCTGCCTGCTGCGGCATTTGCTCTGGGTTTGATAAAATGGATGTTGTCCGACTGAGTAAGGTGAGTGATGATAATACAGCTGAAAGAACAATACTTCATATAAATAAAAACTATACACACATATCTGGGAAAACCGTTCAGTATTTGTTATTATTATAGCCTTGTTTACAAGACAGAAAGTTAAGTGTAATTCTAGCAAAAAAAATAGAAGTGGTCATACTAGGCCTGAGTGCCAGCAGAGAGCAGTGCTGATCGAGCCAGCTTAGTACAGTTCTGAAGAGTTCGTCTGTGTTGGATGTTGACACCACTGTATTGAAAGACTCAAACAACGGCCTGATGATGATGCTGAACTGTGTTATTATCAGTTAAGGACGCATATAATAACAAACTTATCAATTGATCAATAACAATAAATAATCCAATCATCAAGCATTACTGTAATATATGCGCAGAATTTTTGACAGTGTGTGTATATATTTGTTTTTAATATCATTATATTTTCAAATAGCCATAGTGTGTTGGACTAATAGACTTATAAAGTTCAATATTTAAATTGCTTATGTTGTGTATATATTTACTGCAACTCAATAAAGTTGGGTTGACCCTAAACTTACACTATAATTAAAACAAAATTTGTTATACTTAGTGCCTCTGTAATGTGATTGGCTATGAGGAAATTCCTATAATGCAAGTTGAACTAAAGTGTAAATACAGTATATTATTATAATTAATTGTATAGAACTGAAGTGCCACCTTTTCTCAGAGAATTGAGCTATGCTCAGTTCGCTAGTGCTCTGAGACTTTGTACAGAGTGCTTTTAAAATGCTTGTTTAATATTATTATTATTACTATTATTATTATCATTATTATTATTATTATTATTATGCATACTGCTAGAGCCTCTATGCACTCTCAAGAAAAATTACAAAAAGAGACTTAGGACAGAACTTAAAGAAATTGATGAGGAAAAATGAGGTAGTTCAAACATCCAGGAGTAGTATATTTCAATACAACTGAAGCCATAAATAACTAATTATCATCATTATCAATAGTATCATTATCAAAAAATGAAATCATCTCAAAGGATACAATCCAAAACTTCCAGTTATGTTTGGTCCGTTCCCTCACGTAGTCATCAAACATACTCTGCATCTGATCAAACCTCTGTCTAGTTACTGGTACACCGCTGGCAGGGAGTTGTGCTTGAGTTTCACTACAAAAAAAAAATGAATGAAGTGTTCACAACAATTAAATAATACATAAATGAAAGATTGATTCTTCAGTTATGGAAAAAGGGATATTTTAAAAAAACATTTTAATTTAAAAAAAATATAAGTATGTTAAAAAAAAAATACACTGAAGTTTTATTATTCATAATAGGCTATACAAAACTGGGGCGTATTTTAGAAGGTAACTTAAGTCGGACACTCACTGCATCGTGCGACAGTAGTATGACCATCGCACGATGAATCCACATTTGCTTCCGGTGAGCGATAGACGATGCAACACTGTCTGCTGATTGTCAGTGGCAATCTGAACGGATCCTCATTAAAAAGACAATCCGTTGGGTCCGCGTCCTGGTGTGCGTTCTTCGTCGCGTTGCCGTCGCGTCGCTGTCGCACGCAATGAGTAACCACCTTTAGAGAACTGAGGTCAAACAATTACCTTCTACTTTTACTTAAACATATCTGGGCTGTTCTTCTACACTGTTGTGTAAAGGGCATTGCAAAATATTCACAAAACATGAAAATTCATAAAATATAACAAATGTAAAAATTACATAGCCAATAAAAGTAATCATCCACCAAGACAGGGAGTAACACTAGTAGCAAAACTACTGACACCCATAGGATATGCTACTAATCCTATGTCTGTAGCCTCATAACACAATACCTTAGTCATCCAAAATTCACTATAAGCTTAATTTCAAAGGTTGAATATTTCCTAAGGTCATAAAAATAATTTCAGAATATACTACCATTTTAATTAGACTTAAATACTTCAATCAAGCATTATTTGCAATGTGATGTAATTTGTCTATACTGTATATTTATGTAATGCATAAACCACATGTAGTAAGCTGATAATGGAAATAGAATGACGATGTATATTGGATATATATTATATATGTGCCAAAGACAAGCCAAACCAGAGAGCTATAAAATGGTAAAAGAATAATTTAAATCCGACATTTCCTTATGAAGTTACATGTGTTTAAACATACAGCTGTTTAAAGAACAATATTTGAGAAATCGGCCTTCAAAGTTTATGATTTCGTGCATTTCTCAGGAATAAACCATCACCAAATCGTTAAAAATTGCTGTTTCAACATTAAAAATGGGGAAAATAACAGCATAGCATGATGTATAGATAATGCAAGGTTTACAGATGAAACAGAATAAAGTATGCATATTATAGATAAAATTTACGAAGCTTACTTGATAGAGACATTGAGGACGGCCACCTCCTGCCTAAGTAAAGCTATTTCCTTTTCATACTGAGTACGCTCATGTTGAAGCTTCTTAGTGTAATCTACACCTTTCTGCAGCAAGGAAGCTTTACTGATTTTGGAGCTGGGGTTCTGATTGATTGATGGTATTAAAGAATGCAACATATCAAAACCAGACTGCAATGGAAAAGAAAATAAATTACTCATTTTACACTTTGTAGTAAATGCATAGCTAACCTACCATTTCACTTTGATCTTATGAATATTCATTATGGTGTAGAAACAACATAATTAACATATTCTGTTCACAGACCTTGATATTGAAACGTCTCTTTTGTTCTGCCGAGATGTGTGTTGATATTTTCTTAAAATCCTGTAAACAGAATATGAATTTATTTTAAGTCAGAATTTATTGTAATCATATTCATTTTGACACCAATATGTAATTACTCAATACTATTCAAATACCACAACAAATCGAAATATCTTATATTAGAAACTTATAAAAAACATATGGAACTTGAATACCATATAATAATATAAACAATTAAAGCACTAATTTATGTATCAATCAATCTATCAATTCAAATACCACAACAAATGTTAATGGTAATGGTTTCTATGATTTAAGAAACATATGAACTTGAATATAATATAATAAAAACAATTAAAGCATTATTTATTTATTCATCAATCAATCAACCTATCAATCAGTCGATCAACTTTTAGATTTACCTTTTCGTCATCATCTCTGTTATAGGCCTACAAAATAAAAATTTTTTTAAAGTGTATTGATAGAAGTTAAATTAGATAAAAGAATAATTAATTATAGAACAGAAAACATACTCTATAATTTCAATAAAGTTTCAAGAGTTACCAATATCAGTACCAAATTAATTTACATTTACCTCAGAGCTGTCTGCAATCATTGCTAATGGACTCGTCGTTGAAACTGACACTGGGCCTAAAAAAATAACATTTCCTATGTAATAATAATAATAATAATAATAATAAAATGGCCTACAATGGCATTATTAAACATAAGTACTGGAATACTGTACACTTGTTGATAGTTTTGTATAGAATACATTAAGTGTGGGCAGATTATTACTGTTTCTATGCATATTATTACTTTTTGTATAAATTTTCAGAAAAATTTAATTCTATGTGTTTGTCTTGATACCTAAAGGTTCAGGCATTTTCGCACAGTAGTGAACCATTAATTGTCCTATTAGACTCTTGGCACCCCAACCTTACATTCATAAAACAAATATATTTTGGTAAATCACACATATTAATAATTAATTTAATATGTCAGTCAGAATTATTGATGAAGATGAGCAACACAGTTTTAAATATTGAATCACAGTGCTTGCATCACTTACTTTCAGCTTTAAAACAATGTAACAAATACTTAAACACGCTGTATTTGAAACATTTTTGAATAACCAATTATGTTTAATTTAATCAGTTCCTAGAACTCGTAACAAATGCTAAACATACTTCAATATTTTAAGTGTTATTAACATAACAAGAATGCACAAGGTGATTTACCGTAATATGATCCCGATATGAAAAATGGTTAAATACTTAAGTATAAGCAAACATACCTGTCTCTTATACACATCTAGATGTGTATAAGAGACAGGTCATTCACCTGTACATTATCAAATAATGAGGTATTGCTCGACTGGTCTAATGAGCTGTTACTTAAGTTCTGTGAGTTCATAAAGTCTGTGGCTGTATTCAAATCCTGATTGGTTTGAAGTGATTGCATAGGTGATTGGTGTGTCTCAAGACTGCTCATAGGGACTTGTAACAACTGGGTCTCAAGTCGTGGTGGTTGGATCAAGGTACCATGTGTTTGCTATGATTCATAAATACAAAAAGGAAAAATAATTGAATATAAAATATGTATTTGCAAATTGGATCTCTGAATTATAAAGTACTTGTGTCAAAAGATTTCTTTATTCAATATAAATAAATCATGCCTTAATTAATCAATCCAGATACTAATTCAATTAATCACTATCAATGATCAATTAATTATTTATTGAATCGATCAATATTTAATTACCAATTATTTGATCAACAAATCACTTTAATCAATTCATCAATGATCAATTGACCGATCAATTAATCAATTAATCAACAATCAATTAATGCATTAATCAATAATTTTTTTTTTCAATTTTTATTATTAAAATCAAATGGCAGCATCAGCTGAATTGCATGATAAAAATTGCATGATAAAAATTGCATGATAAACCATTCAATTAACTTCTTAATTAATGACCTAATTTAATTAATCAATCAATTTAACAGCCTCATTATAGTAATAAATACATTTACCTGATGACTAGTTCCACATCCTGTAAAGACAAATGGACTGGGACTGGTAGTACTACTCTGAGAAATTGACCGAGTGAGATCAACTGAAAACATACAAAAAACATTACTTTAAATTAGCTTAAAAAAGAATTGTACAAAAATGCAATGTCAAAGTAACCTATAGTGGTTACAGCCTTGAAAATGAAGGCACTAGCCTACAAAATACTGATACAGATACTCGTTTATCATTACCAGTAATGTTTAATTATTGACACAAAATTATATAATATGCAACATTTATTTTTAACTCCAGGCAGCTCTTGACACAAAATCAAATAACTGATACAGTTACTGGTACAGCTAAATGATTTTTTTTTTATCATTACTAGTAATGTTACATTAATTAATGACAAAAAATTAAATAATACATAACATCTGTTTTTAATCCGGGAGCTCATTGACACAAAATTAAATAGAAAATGTATTATCAATTGTACTAAAAAATTGATACGTAGTAATTTTATTTGAGTGTAGTGAATACAATATTTACTACCATAAAACAAATATGTTGCCATTAAGAAAATAATTGAAGCATGAATTCCTATTTAGTTGCTTTACCAATTACTTACTTATATGTATTATTTAGTATTAATTTTTCTGAATTATTATACAATATTTAGATATAATGTATTTAATGTATCAAGGTGATTTACAGTATTGGCTGTATTTGAAACATTTTTGAATAACCAATTATGTTTAATTTAATCAGTTCCTAGAACTCGTAACAAATGCTAAACATACTTCAATATTTTAAGTGTTATTAACATAACAAGAATGCACAAGGTGATTTACCGTAATATGATCCTGATATGAAAAATGGTTAAATACTTAAGTATAAGCAAACATACTGTATACTTAAGAGCGATCAGTTACAATATCAAAGAGCAGACTCAGTTGGGCTTGAAATTATTACTTGCGCAAAAAGTTACAAGCGTAAAATAACACAGACTGATGCAGAGGTTAACTGCAGCTGAAGTTAGGCAGAAATTCATACTTAGACAAAGTTGAGAAATTTCACAACCTACACCAACAACTTCTGCAGTTTATTAATACATACAAAATTAAAAATTTAATTCAATTTAACATTAATTTTCTTGCCTCTGGTAGATCTATACAGGCACTGCTCAATTTTAGGTACCTGTATTGCATATAATATATGTGATTTTCTATAATTTGGCCCATGTTAATGATGTGATTTTCTATAATTTGGCCCATGTTAATGATGTGATTTTCTATAATTTGGCCCATGTTAATGTTGCCCTATTTCCTAATTAACATTTTATTCAGAAAATATTCAAAATCAACTCATATTTAATGCATAAATTACAAGAGTAAATAATCAAGTTTTAAAAATGCATTATTTGACATTTCTTTATCCCCAAAAAACTACAGAGATATTGTACATATTTATTTTTATCAATGTCAATAATAATTTAACTACAATAAAATGTAAAAACATCTCAAGTGTATAAGAAACTTTATATGCTTTTCTATTTATATTCTAGCCAAATAAATAATAGATGTGTTAATCTTACAGTATACCAGTGCATAATGCCATAGACTTTGTGCTTCACCTTATTTCCATGGTCAATGGATCAAACACATATAAAACACATACTTATCTCTCTTGGGTAGTATTCAATAGTATGCACTGCAAATAATCAATGCACTGGCATTTAAACCTACTAGGTACTGTACCTAGTTATACTCGTTTGTGGAGAGGCAATTAATACACATTTAAATTAGCTCGTCTACAGGATCTGTGGTGACGCCAGCAGTAGTCTGAGGCACAAGACCTCTTGTCAGGAAGCCCTAGACCACTGTCGGGAAAGCAGCTAATCACGTTGTCGACAAACACTGCGTTGAAAAAGTATTTTTATAGTCTGCAAGTGCCATGTCCTAGGATCTAGAGGCACCATTCTGAAAATGTCAGACCTTGGACCCTTGTCGGGTATTTTCTGACCTCACCCCGGCCACGCCAAAAATTGGCTCAGCTCTATACTTGAACCCTCAATATTACTGGAAGCCAAGCATTGCTGATGCACCAAATTCTTCCACTACAGTAAATGCAGAATTGACTACTTAAAACTAAATTAACAATACTGAAAAATTTGAATTCAACCATGAGCACCATTCATATATTTATGCTAATTTATTCTAAACATAAAATCAGTAAGTTTTAAACCGAATATTAGTCATCAAAACATTGAATGCTAATCATCAAAACATAAACAGCAACTATTATATATAACCACAGTATAAACACTTCAAAACCAGTTCACTGTTAGGCCATTCATAATTTATTCAAGAGGGCGATGTTTTATGTATTACATAATTGTATTCAAAGACCCAACCAGGATGATGTATTGATGATGTTTTTTATTTGTATTCAAAACGACGAATTCATAACATATTCCAGATGGTGATGTTTAAATAATTGTATTCAAAGACCAAACCAGGATGGTATATTGATGATGTTTTTTATATTGTTAATATCATTTGCATTAAAAAGGACAAATTCATAACTTATTCCAGAGGGTGCTATTTTATATTTACATAATTGTATTCAAAGACCCAAACAGGATGGTGTATTGATGATGTTTTTATATTGTTATCATTTGTATTCAATCCACAAATACAAGGATTCAGAAGCATTTAAATTTTATGTTCTTTTATTTTTATTTGTTTCCTTACCTTGAAATGGTTCCAACGTGTCCATAAAATCGTCCAATGATGATTCAAGCGTCGGTTGCAGCTGAACTAATCCGGGCTGGATCATATCAGAATTATTCATGTGAGCTGAACAAAGATAAACAGTAATGCATTAGGCAAACTTTTTTTTTTTATAGATCATCAGACGAGGGCAGGAAAAAAATAAAAATAAAATTTTAGTTTTTCATTTAGGAAAGTGTTTTGCCAAAAATATTGGGACAGAGGAGAAAATAAAAATAAAATTTTATTGGTGAAAGTAAACAGTGTAGTAATAGGATGGTTAAATGCTTCAATTTCATAATTAGAAAGCTATACATATCTTATTTTTAGAGATTTCACGGCAGCGACGGGCATAATAAAAATAAAGAAAAACATACTTTTTCTGAAATTTTCATTTTTCCAAGGCAGTGGGATGATTTTATTTTAAATCATCATTATTGGCAGGCTAATTCCCTATGTTACAAGAGGAGTTTAATGCCATTTCACTTGACCTCTGACCAAACCAAAATCTATTAAAAATATTTGAGATATAATAATATGCAAAATGACCTTAAACTATGTAACATCTGTTGCCAAGAGCTTTTAGAGGCATAATACAAGTGCGTTCTAGCTATCTCCACCCTTTCAGGTTTTCTGTGATAATTTCAAAATTTGATATGGATCTGGTTTGCATTTTACCAAATATAGATTATTATTGGGTTAAGATATATTACTAACTACATATGCCTTCCGTGTACGTTCCTGTATGTACCAATTAAGTTCATGATATTTTTGTTTGTTTTGTGGCTTCATTGAAATTCAATTCAGCCAAAGTTTTCAGGGTAAATGTAGGAGCAATAACTGTTTCCTGCATGAAAACGCCACTTATCTCCAGTCAGAGTTGTCTTCATTTTGTGCCCAAGTGAAAACTGACTAATTCAGCCTACTATACCCACAATTCAAGGCCTTGGTTTTAACTATGTTTTTTTATTCAACTACTGAAATATTTTATAAATACAGTAGTCATTTGTATATGTTTGATGAATTGGTATTAATTACTGTAGAATTAAGATTATATACACTACATGGTGTTCAGCCTATTATACCCACAATTCAAGGCCTTGCTTTTAACTATGTTTTTTTATTCAACCAATGAAATATATAAATACAGTAGTCATTTTTATATGTTTGACAAATTGGCATTACTTAGAATGAAGATTATATACACTATAATAATATAATCTATTTTGACAACCCATGATTTCTTTTACCAGGTCATAAATATGTATCTGTACTTATATTTATGAGCCAAACTAAGTCCACCTATATATACCCATGTCCCTCCCTCTCTCTCCCCCTAACTTAAAACATAATGTATTTAGAGAAGAATCATCACCATACAGTGTACCGCCATGATACAATCTTTGTGGGTAGAATTTATCAATAGACGACAGGTTCTTTGTGTAATCTGTCTAGCCTATGGACTAGTCTTCCTTAAGTCCTGTCTTCCTATTTACAATGCTGAAAAGTTCCAAGTTGAACTTAGCTTTAGGATTAATGTTAAGGTCAGGATTACTAGCTTCTGTGGTAATGTTAGATTTGTGCCTGTGACTCCTAATTATCATGCAGAAAACAATAGCTACACTGTAGGTTTCAACTTAAATAAAAAATGTATGTATTTTTATATTATTTTGAAAGAACATGAAAATATTACACAGTATAATCATCAAGTATACATACATGGTTAAAAAAGAAACTAACATGGGTTTTACTACATTACATGGCGTCTCAAAAAGGCTAACACAAGTTTGAACATGAATACTTTGGGGTGAACAGCATAATTACTAGGAAGTGGAGATTATTGTAATGTACGCAGGGAGGAAAGTTAATGTGGGTACAAGCTACATTAATTTGAATTTTGTATATAAAATTATTCATAAATGTCCATAATTACTTAATTGATATTTTATGTACAGTTATTTTGCCTGTAATTATGTTTTTATGTTGTCTTGATGTATTTTTTCTTAAAATGTAATTCAAACAGAACCATTTTGAAGCAGATAAAATATAAATCCTTTAAATAACTAAAAACCGAAAGGTCCACTGATTAATCTCAGATAAGAAAGTATAATACATACTCCAAGTATTGAAATACACGCCATCGTGTTGGGATTCAATATTTCGACATTAATTATGTCATCATCAGGAATAAATATAAATAATTGCTGTAATGTTCATTGGATGAACTTGAGTAATCAAAATTGTAAATTATGACTTGAAACAAGGTATTTAATGGGAATATGTTTAACTTACCAAGTTGTCATCCTGATGATGACAAAATTAATGTCGAAATATTGAATCCCAACACGATGGTGTGTATTTCAATACTTGGAGTATGTATTATACTTTCTTAAATAACTAAACCACAAAAAAAATCATATAGAACTGTCCCTATAAATAAAGTAGATTCAATGCAGTATACAATACACAGAATCAGTTTGATTATTATTACTGAGAACAGTTTAATGTGTTGATTTTGGGTTCTCCCATACACACCATAATAATGCATTGTATCTTCACTCCAAATCATTGCCATTGTTTACTGTATTGTTTTAAATCATTGTTCTGTCACAAGTCAATGTGACTTAGGTCAAGGGTAGAACGTTTCTGCTATTCATAGCTTTTTCTTGAAAAAAATATCTTATTCTTGCGGATAAATTTATTGGAAACTTTCTGCCTCATTTCCACAGCAAAGAAAAAAAAGGGAAAAAATGGCTGCTTTCCAATAATTTATGCATAATAATTGCTGTAATGTTCATTGGATGAACTTGAGTAATCAAAATTGTAAATTATGACTTGAAACAAGGTATTTAATGGGAATATGTTTAACTTACCAATTTCTTTGGGGTTTGGAAAAGCAAATGGAGGGTTGAGACTTGAGAACAGGGTGTCATGAAAATCCGCAAAGAAGGAATCCTCAAAGACCATTGGTTCTTCACTAATTACATCACGATGCATCTGCTTCATTAAGTCAGTATGCTAAAAATATAACAAATCATAAAAAATTTTGATCTTTTATGTTTGATTGTTATATTCTATTCTATATTGTTATGAGTGATGCATACTATATATTATATTGATCTTATTAACATTTTTCTTAATTTTTTATCAGTGCAGTAGTATATGGATTTTTAATGAATACAGTCAACTCTCCAAAATCTATTCTGAAAACCGGATCTCCCAATTTCGAATTCCGGTCGAATTCTTAAGTCAGGATCAATAAAATCACCTTCTGAAAACTGGACGCTCAGTTTAAAACAATGATTTATTGACAAAATACCTCAAATAAATCATCACAGACACAAATTATTACGATTCCTACATAAAGATCACATTGTTTTTGTTTACCGAAATTTGAAGCAGGGACCCGCAAAGCGATCCAATACTAATGGAACTATAGAAATCACAACCTTGCCGAATTAAGGCTAGTCATGCTGGACCACATTCCTTTGTTTTTTTTACTCATTGTCGCCCACGGCTTTTCAACATTTGCCACGAGGTTCAATTCAATTCAATTCAATTCAAAAATACATTTATTTCCTTTCATTTGCAGTCAAATAACAGAGATCATTAAAAACAACGGGTTTATGAAACAAAATCAAAAGGAAGAAGGCACTTGCCCGAGAAGATTCAATTAAAAAAATCTTGTATTGGGCAGGCCTGAACACAAAATCATAAAAGCACAGAGAGACACAAAAAACAATCAAACAACCAAATCAACGCACAACACACACACAAGCAAGACAGTAAAACAAGGTATCAAGAAGTAGCAAGACGAGTCACGATCAAATTAATTTTAGTATTGCGGGGTTAACCTTTAACACACTTTACTGTGTTCTGATTGGCGTGCATGTCGCCCGCAAAATAATATAGCAGTTACAAACAATTTCCTGTCGTTGGCAGCGAGTGGAAGGGAAGACTCCGTAATTTTTATTGATAATACACTTCGACAAAAAAATAGGTAACATACAATATGCATTTTAAATGACATTCCCAGGGCAGTATACAGTACATACAGTGTGATGTACATGTCTTTACCTTGCCAAGCTAGGCCTATTATTGACTCAAGGCCAGGGAATCAAGGTGGTTAAACATGACGCTCTCTAAACCAGACCGTCCGGAAATCCGGTCAAAGTGGACAGTCCGAAAGGGTGGTCAGTATTGGAAGAGTTGACTGTAGCACAATTATGGGTTTTGTAACTAATATTATGTGTTTTTTAATCAATAATGGTATATGGTAACCTTCAACAATGTAAATAAGTATTATAAATTTCAATCATTAAAAAAATCTACAGTAATCAAAATGAAATTATTTCAATTTATATTGAATTTACAAAATGATAAACATACCTTGACAACAATGAAAAAAAAAAATCAATAAAAAAAAAAATTATTTATAAACCTATATAAGAAATTACAAACAGCACTTTTAAGAATAACGTGTATACAATTTATCCTCTAGTTTTCATCCACACAGTGGACTTCATCAGGAGATAGTCCCCTGATGATTAATTAAATCTATCAGTTGTTAAAATGATTTTTTTATACTAATAGTATATTGAAACAATTAACTAAATTGTAATCCATAATATAATTCAATATCATTAATAATAGTCATTAGTTGGTGGTACACACCTATTTGGTGAGTGGTTTAGGCTGCTTTTGTGCTTTCCTCGCAGCTAATGACTATGGTCTATTTAATGTATATACTTGTTAATGTTATGTTCGTTTGGTTTTTTTCTGAGTAGTATTATATTTTGTACTGTATATTGTATTGTTTTGCCTGAATAAATAATAATAACAACACAACAATGTAATCAGAATAGCCTTAATTTTTAATTATTTGTGAACAAAATTATTTGAATAAAATCTTTAGTATAATGAATAGTAAATTAATACTAATAACATTTAGCAAAAATATGGATCAATGGTTAATCTTTTCCTAAGCCTTACTGTTAATTCTGTACGAGTCTTTCCACTTGAGGCAAGCTTCTTTTGTTGCATCATGAATATCCGCCACTTGTTGTACTCATGGACAACTGTGTTTGGTGTGCGCTTCCAGTATTTCCCTTCCAAAATGACAGCCTGAAAAAAATCAAAGTAAGTTGAATAATATTAACTTCCATGTTACTAGTAATATATGACACTTATATAGTACTACATACTGTATGTTGCCTCTATTCATTTTGATCAAATAACGAATATAGAACATTATATTTAAAAATCCAGCAAGGAAATAATACAAAATTAATTTTACATAATTCTTTCTATGTGGCCATATGTATTACAGATATTCCACATGGTAATATACTGGGCCCTGATAGCCTTTTCCTCTGCTAATGTGTACTAGCAAGGGGAAATGATGATTTTGGTTAATACAGTAGTTCCATTATCAGCTCATACCAATGGATACATTCAATAATTTTGTTTTGCTTTAAAATACATTTCTTTAAATACATTACTGCTAATTATACATTTATAATTAAAATAATAGAATATCAACAAGATTTCAGAAAAAAGCAAGACACTTCGATTCTTCAAGATGACCAAAGGAGATTATACTAAATGTAGGTTGAAATCAAGACAATAATTTAATGATGATGATTCTCAATTTTCCCATTCCTTTCCTATTTTTCCTTCCATCATCTCAGTTGTTCATTGTTCACCTCTCATCACCAAAATTTAAAACCTAAAATTCATGTCATCTTACCTCCGGTACATTGTGATTGGTTTCTGCTAGGGGCGAACCAAACTGGCAGATGACTGGAGGCAAGCCAATACGGACTAAAAGAAAAAAAAAACCAAAACAAACATCATAGGCTAAGAAAACAAAAACGCAAAAGGAGCTTACAGAAAAATCTGAAATGTTTATATTATTCTCAATAAGCACAGTTACTATATAAACTACAAAATGATAAATGATTATTATAATATAATATAAAAGAAAAAATTATTTCATAAATTTTAATAACATTAACAATTTCAGATGGCAATATCCCTGTATTGGGGGTGGGGTTCTACTTCATCAATTAACTTAAACTGAAAAAACCAATATTATTATCTTTTATTAATTACCATGCTAAAAAACACCATAAAATATTAATACAATTAAAAGAAGAAATGTTAGTTAACTGAGGTTATAGAGGACTAGTATAAAGCTACTCCATATTTAATGTTCATGGTTGGATGCAAATCATTGGTAAAGTACAATACAGACATTTACAAACTACTTTTCCAATTTTACATTAAAGTATAAAGCTTCCAAAATTGACATACAGTAGTTTAATGAAACACAAACAATGAGCCAACTAATTATAAATATAATATACGTTAATAAGTAAAAGAAAAGAGATTGTGGGAAAAGGGGCCCTTCTTTAACATACAGTATAGTACTGTACTACAGTTCTTAATATCATTATTATGGGTCATTTTTATTTTTACAGACCATGAAAGTACTGTATGTTGATGTACTACTCTGCAGGGTTGAAACACTTGGTTTGTCAAGAGTTAAGTTAACTCAATTAGGACAATACCAGGAAAGAGTCTATAAAAATTAGGATATGCAGAGTTTACATGTACTCTCTATTATTAGTAGAAAGATGGTTTCAAGCTGGTTATAGAATGATAACACCCATACTACCATACCACACATTTAACATGTCTAAATATTCTGTTCTCCAGAGAAAGAGAAAATAATTTTCCTTTTTTTTTGCTAGAAAGAATTACATGCACTGTTAAACATTGGACAGTTCACAAAACTATGGATTTTATATCAGTATGATCTTAGTTTTCATACTGTACTTATCATTTGGATTAAAATTTCAATATTATTGATATTACTAACATTATTAATCAAATAATGTAGATGTCAATAATATTTAGTTCATTAAATAATAATATTTCAATGCTTGTATTACTTTGCATTAAAGGTATTGTTATGACTATAATTAACAAGTAATTAATATAATGAAAACATATGGTATATATATCATAGTTTTATTATGTTATAGTATCATCCTATGAAGTAAATAATTTTAATATCACCGACATTAATATTCATATTTCATAGCTTATATCACTTTAAAATTAAAGCTACTGTATGGCTATAAGTGATAATGAAATGGACAATGGGTGAAAAAGATTCTTTAATTTAAAAGTTCTAAACAAAATATGAGAAAATTTTAGATAGTAAAGAAAACCTCAAAAATTCAATTTATAACATTTTAATAACTTCATCAAAATACCTTAGTTCCTCTGGTATTGGCCCATCCCCCCCCCCCATACAAAACTGGGTCGATGGGAGGAGGGTGGGTCGATATTGGGGTGGGCTTATACCCAGGTACCTCCTTTTCAATCAAAAGGCAAATTTGCAGCATCGCATGCCTATTATAAAGTCAACAATCATTGAATTTTTTCTGAGAATTTTGTGAAACACATCTAATATACTTATTAAAGTCATACACTGGTCCTTTGCCTGAGGAAAGGCTACCTGTAGTATGTAAAATTAGGCATAAATGGGCTAATACACTAGGTTGGAATATACACGAGGAACTACAGTAACTACAGATGGTCCAAGTACTTACACTGCATATGCCATTCCCGCCATATAGCATTGTTCAAGCGAATCTTGTCTCTGGTAGACAGCTTCAAGCCTCTAAACCACTTCCATTTGGGAGACACAATCCTACCACTGAAAAGAAAGAAAATTACATAATGAAAACTATGTATTTAAGTCTTAATAGCAAATCCAAAATGCAAAACTTTTCATTGGCTATAAAACAATTTACAACAATCCAATAATATAATAATCGACAGTTAACTTGAACTTGACTATTGATATTATGGTCTCCTCAATTGGTTTTTCATTTTCATCTTTATTAAATATTATATACCACATACATAGATTCTAGGCATGTGATTGGTTAAAAAAACAGGTAATAACTTCAACCATCACGCCTATGATATGGAAAAAATACAGTACTATCACGTTAAATGATAGTACTTTTTGTCCTGCAGCAATGTAATCTCTAGGCCCCATTTACAATGTTGCTATCTAATTTATGACACGCATGGACGGTAAAAGGGACGCGACCTCTATGACACTGAGACAGATTGGCCTTTGACCGCCTAGGCCTGAAGTAAGCATGGCTAGACCTGTACTTGAAGGATACTCTTTTCATTAATTTTTAGGCCTTGTACAGTAGAATCTTATGAAATAAAACAAATATTGACTGAGCACTCTAGATTCGGACAACTATGAAATCTATAGCCCCTCGGTGATGTGTAGACTATAGCCCACTATCTACCGTAGCCTAAGATAGTAGGCTACAGTCTCACATTGAACTCAATGCAATAGAATTACTCCATTCCTCTCAAGAGCAGTCGATATTTCTATAACTTAACTTTATAATTTTATAAAAATAGCAAAAATTACACAAATCATAATATGATATTCACGAAGTAGACTAAACAAATTAAAAGTAAAATATTATTCTTAGTACTTCCGGAAATAATAATTATCAGCAGGCAAAGGATAGCAGAAAACATTATAAAATATATTTTGCCGAATTCCTAATTTTATTAAATTTCTTAATGTGAAGTAAGCAATGGAAAATCATGTAAAAATGTTGTTTATCATAAATGCATGCTGGGAGAAATAGGGGCAATCAATAGCGGATGTTGGTTAATCCAATGAAAATGTTTTAACCAGATATTTGTAGCCCACACAGCACTTGAGGTGTAAAGTAACTCTAACTCAGCTTTAACAGTATAGGAAGGTACTATAACTTACAAAGCACTTATCTAATGTTGGAACATCCTCTCACCATGTCTATTGGCCAAAGACTACGTACCATAAATAACTGGAATCTTAAATACAAATGTTCAAATCCAACACTGATGCTACGAAAGAAAATCTTCATAAATAGAACTACAGGGTAACCATTATAGGATAAGCATCCCATAAGTAGCTTATACCAATGCAAATAATTGACTTCATAATAACTGATTAAGATGTATAGTTGTTTTAGAGAGAGAAAGGAAATATTAGGGCCCATAAAAGACCATGTCTATTTTTAGTAACCATGTATGGAATTTGAAGTAATGAGACCAGTGAGTAGAATATTAGAGACTCTAGGATTTAGATTGCAAAACCAATAAAATATTCCTGAATTATGACAATCAAAAATTTCCATAAGATTTATTTTTGTGTTAATGTCATCATTCTGTAAATTGTCCTATTATTGTTACAATACCGTTATTAACTATACCAGCCACACATCCAAAGGTAAAGCAATAGCCGACAAAAAAAAAAGGCATTGGAAAAAACAGATGATGTCTCTTTTATACTGTATACCACAAATATAAAAATATAATAAAAATATTGATTTTGAATACAGTAGATCTATTAAATTCCTATCCTACTATAAAGACAAAAAATTGCTCCATAAGGTGCTAGTTCTTCTACAGATTAAAATCTTACAGTAGAAAAGGTTACTGTTAGGTTAAACCACAAGCTGCTTTTTTTTTTTTTTTTTTTTAAGTAAGGTAAACCTTATTCCATAATAAAACAAACAAAATATACATTTCAGATTCAGGAACAATGGAAAAGGAAGCTCAAATAAAGCAAAGCTTTTGACCCTTGTAAAAGAATAGGAAAACAATTCATATTTAGGAAAACACTATGATTATCTTATAATAAATAAATAAATAAAATAATAATAATAAAAAATAAATAAATATATAAATTATATAAAAAGAAACACAAACATCATATATTATATTTACAAAAGATAAGTACTTAAATCAGATATATAGACCCTGTCTCTTATACACATCTAGATGTGTATAAGAGACAGATATTATTCTTAGTACTTCCGGAAATAATAATTATCAGCAGGCAAAGGATAGCAGAAAACATTATAAAATATATTTTGCCGAATTCCTAATTTTATTAAATTTCTTAATGTGAAGCAAGCAATGGAAAATCATGTAAAAATGTTGTTTATCATAAATGCATGCTGGGAGAAATAGGGGCAATCAATAGCGGATGTTGGTTAATCCAATGAAAATGTTTTAACCAGATATTTGTAGCCCACACAGCACTTGAGGTGTAAAGTAACTCTAACTCAGCTTTAATGGTATAGGAAGGTACTATAACTTACAAAGCACTTATCTAATGTTGGAACATCCTCTCACCATGTCTATTGGCCAAAGACTACGTACCATAAATAACTGGAATCTTAAATACAAATGTTCAAATCCAACACTGATGCTACGAAAGAAAATCTTCATAAATAGAACTACAGGGTAACCATTATAGGATAAGCATCCCATAAGTAGCTTATACCAATGCAAATAATTGACTTCATAATAACTGATTAAGATGTATAGTTGTTTTAGAAAGAGAAAGGAAATATTAGGGCCCATAAAAAACCATGTCTATTTTTAGTAACCATGTATGGAATTTGAAGTAAGCCTAGTCCCTCTGTGTGTGCAATCCTGCTTTTTCTGCACGTCGGCAATTTTCTCGCCGGCGACGGGTGCCTAGACGCCGGCATTTACGCCGGCACTGCCGAATGCCGACGTTAATTTTGAGGGCTGTTTTATACAGACAGGAAGATTATTCCACAGTTTAGCTCCTGTGTACCTAATGGACTTTAATCCAAGAGTAGTTCTTCTAAAAATTTATTGTTAAATGGTCATTGCTTCTAGTAAAATGATTATGGGTATCCCTCACTCTTCGAAAAAGAAAATTAAAAATTGGTGGTAAAGTATTGTTATCATATTGAAACATAAAAATAGCGATGGATTTACAATGGATCTCAAAAATATTTAAACATCTAGTAGAAATAAATAATGGAACTGGCACATGATAATTGTAGACTTTACAAACAATCCTTAAAGCTTTTTTGTCAAATTAATATATGACTTAAGTGTTGGGTTTGCCATGCCCCAACATAAGACTACATAGTTTATGTGTGGAACAATCAGAGACTTATATATTTAATAAAATTGAAGTGGGCATAACCGTCTTGGCCTTATTTACCACATCAATAACTTGAGACAATTTAGTTGAAATACAATTTACGCGAGTGGGAAAAGTTAAGAATTCATCTTATAAACACCGAATATTTGGTATGCAGAATTTGCATCTTCAGTGCCCATTGTTTCATACTACGTTGTATAATATTTAGTTCATTAACAAAGGACTGAGTATTTGATTAAGTAAAATTTCGTTTAAGATGTAATTTGGAGACTTTGGATTAAGATTATTACTAGTATCAATACAAAAAACAGGGAAGTGATCAGAAAGGTCAGAGATTAATATACCGTTTTGTGTTTCTGAAGGGGAAGAATTTGTATAAATGTTATCAATGAGAGAGGCACGTTGTTCACTGATTCTAGCTGGTTTGCTAATTAATGGCTGAAATGAATATAAAAATAAATTGTCTAAGTACTGTACATGCGCTTGTATATCGTGATCCTCGGAATGTTGTAGTAAATCAATGTTCATATCACCAATTAGGTAAGATTTTTTCTTTTCCTTATTAGGGTAATTATGTTCATAATATTAGAAAGTTTGTCATTGAATAAATTGCGGCACTAATCTGGAGGACGATAGATAACTCCTCAAATAATATTTTCTTGGTTAGTTAATTACAGAAAGTCTCTAAATCTCTGTACACACTATTAATCAATTTATGGGACAAATATGTGATTTGTTCTCGGGCATGAAAATGTCATCGAATACTGTAGTATCAACATACTGTAACTAAGGTTATCAGTTGATTCTGGCAAAAAATCCTTACAGTACGTATCTCTACCAAACATTACAATATTAAACGTACTTCAAGTCATCCCACAGTCACATGCAAAATTATCAATCAACATAGACAAATACTTTAAATAGAATATCAACACATCCGACACACTGCATAGACAATAAGGCTAAAAAAAAGTTCATGTTGACCAAGTCCCATCAACCCTAAATCTATAAAAAAAAAAATCTACAATAGTTCATGCAGTCACACAATCTGATTTCATCCTCAATTATTATCCCAAGCCATCATATTGCAAAAAAAATAAAGATTTATTTGCATTCTATGAAAATAAATACATTTGTCATAAATCAGAATACTGTTAGGCAAATACAGTAGCCAAAACAAACATGATCTGCATTCTTTTCTCTTATATTTAATATATCAGGACTGGCCAATAGAAAGATTCATGAACAATGCAATGTCTATGGAACACTATCTGGTGGTAATATGCTCCATGCTTTCAATGTCATGTGATTATACACTACCCTGCCTAACTCTTTCTATTTAATCTTAAGAATGTTATTTGGTGTCATGGTCAAACCATGTGAAGGACAAATAAAAACCAAACAGCCCCAGTAATCTTATCAACAATACAAAATTGTGGTCTTGTTAAAAAAAATGTATTACTGTAGATGTAAACATTTAAGCTCAAACTTTTTCTAATACATTTACAGGAGGGAGAGTATGGTAAATTTGCATTGTTTATGTGCTGTTTTTTCGCTCTTTCAAACTAAAAATAATAACAATTCATTTCTTTTTAATATTACAAAATTCACTATATTATATACATTTTTTAGACTATACTATTAAAAGCAAATGTTTGGGTATTCTTCTGGTAGGTAGGTCCTATTATTGGTCAGGCTACATT